AATTCTTCCCTCAACTCCCCCCTGAGGCACAGGTTTTGTGAAGAGTTGCTGGGGCTCGTGCTGCTCCACCTGCCCTTCCCCATCCTGCTGCTGCTGGCTCAATACTGGCCGTGGGGCTGCCAACCATCGCCCTGGGAGGAGGTGACTCATGCCTCAGCTATTGCTCCCACTTTTGATCTGCAAAGATGAGGACACTGCAGCTTTCTTTCTTTCTTTTTAATATATTGATTTTTTACAGAGAGGAAGGGAGAGGGATAGAGAGTTAGAAACATCAATGAGAGAGAAACATCGATCAGCTGCCTCCTGAACACCCCTTACTGGGGATATGCCCACAATCAAGGTACATGCCCTTGACCAGAATCGAACCTGGGACCCTTCAGTCCACAGGCTGACGCTCTATCCACTGAGCCAAACCGGTTAAGGCGACACTGCAGCTTTCATTCTCTCCTGGAGGGGGACATGGTGGCTGGGACTAGAGAGGGACATGGTGGCTGGGGGGTCCTAGTGGGCTCAGGTGCAGAGTGGCTTCAGGGCAGGGATGGGGGAAAGGAATGAAGGGAAGCCCAAAGAATGAAGAGTTGTGAACTCTGTCCTCAGAGGGTGCCCAGGCTGAAAGGGACAAAAGACCTGCCCTCTGGACATGGATCCAGGGACAGAGCAGGGGGGACAACACTCTGGGACTCAGCATGGGCTGGGCAGGGCCTCACACAAAGATCTAGAGACGGAGTAGAGGGAGATGACCTATATCTGTCAGTTTCATTTAAAAAGTGTTTGCTGAGCACCTCCAGTGTGCAGGGGCAGCCATGTGAAAGTGAGCAAGCTGTCTCCCTTAACCTTGGGAAATGTACTGTCCTGTGAGACCTTGAGGACATGGGCAAAACCACCTTCTAGCAAGTGTTTGCGTCACTATTCCATACCTCCTCTATGAAAGGCATGCAGGTTGAAGTGGCAAATCCTAGGAGGGAGCTCTGGGCTTGCATTGCAGAATTTGCCTAATCCTTGCCCCATGGATGCTTGGACCAGTCGGCTCCCTGCCTGGTCTGGGAGGTGCGTCCCTGTTTAGAAACACTGCCCCTCTTCTCTGTCCCTGCGCACCTCTGTGAGGAAGGCCAGGGCAGTCCTCCTGCCCCCCTCCTCCCCCC